TGGAGCGCGTGCAGTGCCCCGCGCCGGCTGGCGCCGAGGTGGGTGGCTCCGGGCGGGTGCTGCGATGCCCCGGGCCCAGTGCTGTGCTGGTGCGCTACACCTTCACCGAGTGGCGCACCTTCCTGGACGCGCCCGCCGAGCTGCAGCCTGAGTTGCCGTCGTCTGACGTGGAGGAGACGCCAGTGGCCGAGCGCTTCCGCTTCTCGCTGTGCCTGCCGCCTGGCCTGCATCCCCGGGAAGACGAGGACGGGCGAGGGCGGGATGTTGCCGTCCACTTCGCCGTCTGCTACCGCTGTGCGCTGGGTGAGTTCTGGGACAACAACGCGGGCGCCAACTACACGCTGCGCTACGTGGGCTCCACGGACTCCCTCTGAGCCCAGGTCGCCGCTGGCCACCGTGGGGACGCGCAGGGACGCTTTGCTGAGCGTCGTCGAGCTGTCCAGAGGGGGGAGCAGCACGGTGGGAACGGAGGACACCGCCGAACCATAAACCCGCAGCCCAGGCGGACCACAAGCCATGCCCATGGGCCTGGGCCCAAGTCTCCCTTCCGCCTTCTCAGGTGGGCTCCAGAACTCCCTGCCTTCCTCATGAAGGGAAGAATCCCCAAGGCCCCGAGGAAAAAGCCTCCCTGCTCTTGAGCTCCGTGATCGTGGATTTTGTTTTTAACTCATACATCAGTATTGTCGCCTTTGCAACTTGGAGGCCGGTAGGGGAAGGACAAAGCGCCCGCCACCACAGAGCGAGGCGTGGGAACTGGCACACACTGTGTCCCAGAAAGTGGGCGGGGCTGGGTCACACTGTCCTTTTCATTTAACTGGGATCTGGGGAATGTTTGCCCAGACGCTATTTACTTGTGCGAATTGGGGTCAGCTGACCTTTTTAAAAGTAAAGATCACTGCACGCTTGTTTTCACCGCATCTTCACTCTGGAGCAGTTTGGGAGGCTGTGGCCCTTGGCCTGTGCTGATGATAAGGTGCACTTTAATAACTTCACAGCGTTTACAAGTTTCCCTCCTTTGGTCCCCTGCCTGGTGTGGAAGGGTCCAGACTTCCCCAGTAGGCAGAAATGCTCTTTAGACCGCTGGAGAGGATGCTGAGCACAGAGGACGGGGCAGAAGGTGGCTTTTTGTCCCTCTGAGTCACAGCAAGACCTGTTGACTTGGTGGCTCATGAAGCATGGATCATAAAGGCACAAGGTCAGGGCCTGAGCCTTTCTCGCGTGCTGCTGGGGGCCTCCAGTGCCAGGGTGAGGTGGCTGTGCTGAGCCAGCAGCTGGGTGTCCTGGCAAGGGGCCTGATTCCATCACACCAAGGGTCACCCCTTGGGTAACCCACATTGTTAAAAGACATGTGCTGTTGTCACCGCTTTGGGGCTGGGGACCTTGAAGGTGGGAGGTATTCATGGTTTCCCTGATGAACAGGGCTAAAGATGAGCCAGTGGGCTGGAGACTCTTGGTAGGTGGGCCTAAGAATGGCTTTGAATAGTGGAAAGCGCTCCAAAGAATACTTTGCAATGTGAGAGCATACATGAGATTTAGATTTGGTATTCATAAATAAAACTTGACTGGAACACAGCGATGTGCATTTATTTGTGTATTTCTTACCGTCGCTGTCTTGCTTACCATGGCAGAGTTGGTTATATGCAACAGAGCCCATATGGGAAGTGAAATATTTACTGTCTGCCCCTCTACAGCATGCATGCCAACCCCTGCTTTGTATTTTTAACACCACTGAGAATTGTAGTTAACGAGGCAGCAGTTAACCTTTTAGTGAATTTACCACTTGAAATAAACCTTCTCTGAGAAAAGGCAGAACTGTTTATCCTAACCAAAGATTACTGGGAGTAGTGTAAACACCAAGGCAAAAAGAGCAGTTGTTACTGAGTAGGGAGGGCAAATCCACCTGTTGCTTTCTTTCACTTAAAAGATAACGGACCCACTCAATTAACATTGAATTTCAAAATCTGCCAGACGGTTATCTGCCTTTGTGTGTGTGGGGTAGTGAACCCAGGCCCTCGGACGTGCTAGGCATGCACTCTGCTCTCAGCTGCATCTCTGGCCTCCTTTGCCTTTAAGTGGGATATCTTCAGCTCTACAAATATTTAGTTTGAACTTTGAATTGCAGACTTCTCTGACTATGGCAGTGTTACCAAAGGTTAACTAATCATGGGGAAATTTTAAAACCCTTTATCCATGGAAAGCATCACAAAATGGCAGCTGGCATTTATAGTTGGAATATGCAGTATGTTTTATATAACTTTTAAAAATGTTTAAGTTTTATAACAAATAACCAGTTATAAAAGTGACATATTTTTCCGTTATTACAAAAGTAGTCAATGCCTTCCGTGCTATGTGCAGGTATTTTTGCGTCTGGTAAAACAGTCTTGAAAGTGCATTCTTGCAGCCAGATGGTGGTGCACGCCTGTAATCCTAGCTACTCAGGAGGCTGAGGCAGGAGGGTTACAATCTCAAGGTCAGGCTCAGGCAGCTAAGCCTGTCTCAAAAATTGGGAGAAAGGGCTGGGCATGTAGCTCAGCCCTGGGTTCAATCCCCAGCACCCAAGAAACAGATGTGTCACTGCACAGTAATGCCTGGCATTGCTGTAAATGCATTTTATATTTTATATATTTAAGTACATTTTAGCCAAAAAAATATAGCCTACAACAGCTTGACTATGCTGATTTATTTATTATTTATTTGTTTTGAGACAGGGTCTCACTATGAGACTGACATGGAACTCACTGTGTAGTCCAGGCTGGTCTCGAATTTAGTGATCCTCCTGAGTTCTGGGATTTGAGGCATGCGGCACCACGCCTGACTCCTATTCCTTTTTTTTTGGTTATCAGGGATTGAACCTGGGTTCTTGCACTTGCAAGGCAGGAAGTGGAACCACTGAGGTAAATCCCCGGCCCTCCTATTCTTAATTGATTCCTACAAATATTATTTTGAGTTCAATTATTTTTGCAAAGACTTGCTTATAAGCTAATGAACATCCAACACTGTAGTTCAGGAGGAAATGCAGCTTTGCCATTTGTCTAAATGTTAGAGGAGAGCTTTTCAGAATTTGGTAGACTGAGCTGCTACTAAAGAGTTTATCTGCAAACACTTGGAATCTTTCAAAGCATTGTGGCTGTCTCTGTCTCTCTGTAGAACTGAATTTTGGACCCATGGCCTTCACACTGAGCCATTTCCCTTACCCTTCATTTTTTTTTTTTTTTTTTAATTCATTCTGAGATAGGATCTCACTAAGCCATGAAGTTATCTGGGCTGGCCTTCGACTTGTGATTCTCCTTAGCTTTCCAGAGTGCTGGGGTTAGAGGCATGCACCACCATGCCCACCTGGCAATCTTCAAATGATGATTTTATGACTTGCTGACTTCTCTTTGTAGATTAATACCGGGTGATTGAACCTGGGGCCTCATGCATACTGGGCAAATGCTCTACCGCTGAGTGATATCCACCGGCCATAGCAAATATTTTGAAATAAACAAGGAAGTAAAAATGGCTTTTGTTTTAAGAAAATTATTTCAAAGGAAAGGGAAATCGCTAACCAGGCGTGAAGTAGAGTATATTTCCTGACAGGGATGAAGACACATACCCTGGTAACAAAATCCCCACAATGTAACTTATGTGTGTGTGTGTGTTTTTCTTTCAGCAATATTTACCTCACGTTGAGTAAGTTAGGGTCCTTCTGCTTATGTAATAAACCTTAAAATTGTATCTAGCTCTAGTAATTAAAAACCAAATTTTCTCGGAGATTTAATGGTGCTGTTCTCCACTAATGAGATTCCAATTGCTTCCTTATGTCCGAATGTTTCTGTGGATCACTGGATCAGGTTTGTTGGATTAAATGTGGATTCTTGGGCTGGGGATTTAGCTCAGTGGTTCCGCTGCCTGCCTCACACGTGCAAGGTACCAAGTTCGATCCCTGGTACCAAAAAAAAAAAAAAAAACAAAAAAAGTATGGGCTCTTAACTCCACGCCTTCAGAAGCAGCAGCTGGAAATGACAGTGGGACAGAACAAACCCCAGCTTGTGAGGGAAGGTGGACAACCTAGTCTCAGACCTAAGTAGGGAGCCCATGGAGCTCTGGGGACACCCAGAATCTCTGTCCACCAGCAGCTAGGGCTGTGGCTGTCAGGCTTGATCTGGTCATGAAATAGGTAATGAATATGCTCCTTAATTACAGGCTAGTTTAACAAAAAACTGAAAAACCAACCGAAGCCCTGAGCCAGACATGCCACTCTCCCAGACCAGATGCAGGCTGTGCTATCTCCAAGCAGACAACACGGAATGAGATGCTGTAGAAAAGACCACAAAAGTACAGCACTACATCTTCCTGCCTCGACTGCGGCATAGACCCCAACCACACTTGCACCAAGCCCTGCATGTGGCAGATGTGCCAGACCCCTCTCCTAGTCTCCTATAAAATCCCCCGCCTTTCATGTGTTCGGCACTGATGGCCCTTAGTCCACCTCCACCCAGGTGAATGAAGTCCATGTCTCTTTGCTTCCACTACTAGCCTGCTCAGCCACCTTCCCCAATTCCCAAAGCAGCCACAGCTCTCACTTGAGGGCTGAGTATTTTCTCCCACTGTAGATGTGGAGGTCTTTCTATTGTGACTGTCCTGCTACTTGGTATCCTCTTCTGACCCAGGGGCAAGGGCCTCCCCCGAGAGCTGTGGCTCTTGAGATGTCCACAGGGTGTCAAACACAGTGAATTGTCATCTTATTTCCTCTTTGGAAAGTTACTGCTGGGCTCTCCGGAAGACATTTCTTGGTTTTGCTGTATTTCAGCTTTCCTAACCCCTTAGGCTTGGTGTATTTTAGTAAGCTAAGAGTTTTCATTCCCTGATCCAATTATGTATGGAAATGCAGTGTTTTGCTTTTGTAGCATCATGAGACTGAATGTAGTGTGTGTTTCCAGCTCATACCCTTAGGCCTGGGTTTGTAGGTTGAAAGAACACTGTGGCTGTAGTAACTTACCAGGGACAAACTCAGCTGTCTGCTGTCGCCTTTGCCCTGTAAGGCCAGGGCTGATGGCTCCCAGGATGGAGGATGTCTTACTTGAAGTCATTAGGGCCAAGGGGTTGGGATCGGGGAGCTTCCGATCTGGGCTAACCTCAGTGACTGGGCTTTCTGCTCCTGGCCATCTTGTAGGTGAGCAGGCAGGTGCCTGGAAGCTGGCCAACCCTGGTTTCTCTTCTGGACTACATGACACATTCTTTCCCAGTGTGTCTTTATGTTCTTCTCTGGGCTACTTTAGCCGAAAGAGTGGAGGTGAGGCAGCCTTAAGTGATCCTCACATCCTCAAAGCGCTGGTTGTTGGAGTGCTAAATACTATTAATTTAGGTTCATTCAGCTTTAAACTCCTTTGAGTCTTTCCAGTAGACATTGCATTTGCATTTGCTGGAGTTTAGTTCTTTGACCTTGACTGTATTTGAGCAGGAAAATCTTGGAAAAAAAAACCAGCTGGAAATATTCAGCTGAATGTGGGTTCTGACATGGCAAAGATCATGAGGATCCTTTTCAAACGTTCATGTGAGATTTGCCCAGTGAATCTCCTAGAGGAAGAGAAGCCTATTTGTCACAAGATGAGAGCGAGTTCCACCAGAAAAGTCTACACTTCATACATCTGTACATACGTCTTTCTGGTAGAACAAAGCCGTTTGAGGGTAGGGGCATGGATTGGTATCTCTTCCTGACTGGTCATTCACTCCAGTCTCGCTGGCACTGCTCTGGTCCTGTCCAGCGGACTTGTTATCTCCCAAGTGGAGTTAACAGCATCCTGATGATGTAAGGCATGTGATATATGGACCTCCAAATAATAACCCCAAACCTGCTAGATGTCCAAAAGCCTGAATTTATGTTCTTTAAAATTGAATGAACTCTGGGAACAATGGAGTTAAGAGTAGGAATTGGGCCGGTGATTTATTTAGCTCAGTGGTGCTGCCACCTGCCTTGCAAGTGTAAGGTCCCAAGTTCGATCCCCAGTACCCAAAACAACAAAAAGAGTAGGAAGAATTTATTGAAAGATAGATTCTAAGAGAGACAGAGATGGATATCTGGAAAGTGGTTGCCTTCAACCCTGCTTTTCAAGGGTGTTTTATGGAGCAAAGTAACAAGGTAAGGCGGGTTCAAGGTGTGACAAAACTACAGTTGATAAGATTACAAGTATGATTGCTTTGGTAATATTGATCCAATGGGAAATCACAAGGTGGGTATGAGGTGGGACAAATATAGATTATAACAAATTAATAACTACAACAAGGATAGTTGCTTAGGTAATATTGATTAAATGGGGATCAAATGGGGAAACAGGTCACATAGCAAGCATACAGGGTCCGAACAAAGATTTCTAGGAAGGACCCCACTCAAGGAAGGTGATTGATGCCTTTTAGAATATCAATCACTGCTATTCATCTCTAGGGGAAGTGTGAGTGTGGTTCCTCTTTTTCTTGAAGCCTGGATTTCAGTGAATGTGCTTCTGGCCACAGTTGTCTTCTGTGCTGAGGCCCAGCCCTATCTAACTTGTAATATTTGTAAGTAACTTAGCTATCTACAGTACTAACACAGGCAGAAGTGGAAGATTCACTGTGAAAATATGAACTAACAAAGTAAAGGGAGGAAGATTTCATAAACTAAGCATGAAACATTTAATATCCATGTTGAGAGCTTCCTGAGCACATCCTGCAGGTGACTTTTCTGTAAGTAGCTACAGGAGTTTGCTATTGAAAAAGAATCCACTAATTGGAAGAGGATGTTATCTAAAAGGTGTCCTAGGGAACACTTTGCTAGGCTGAGGATATGTAGGGTTTTAAAAAATTCTTCCTTTGTCATCTTCCCATGACTATAACATTCCTAAGATAGTCAACTTATAAAGAGGCAAGGTTTGCTTTGGCTCATAGTCTTGGAGGTTTCAGCCATAGTCATCCCTGTGGCTTTTGAGCCTTTGGTAACAGCATATCATGGCAAGGAGTACATGGCCAAGCATGGTCTGGAAGTAAGAGAGACAGGAAGAGACCAGGGTCTCGCAATCCCCTTCCGTGTCAAGCTCTCAGTGACCTGCGGCCTCCCACTAGGCCCCACCTCTTAGAGGTCCCATCACCTCCCAGTAGTACCAAGCCTTTTAATGCATAGCCTTTTGGGTGTTCTGATCCAAACTTAAGCAATGGCTTCTTGTTACAGGAAGCTGTTGTGTGGTTGAACTGGCATGTTTTTGCACTGGTAGGTGAAAAGGGCCAGCGTTTCCCAGAGAGTGTAAGGTTCTTTCCTAGGCTTTACACTATTTAAAAATAAATGCTTAGAATGCTTTAAATAGTCCAGCACAATTCATCATTTCCTTTCAGTCCTCTTAGGAGCAGTTGTGTATATGAGCATAGACTTGAGGCTTGTGGTTTTTGATAATGTGTTTCTCAGCCAGCAAGTCCAGATCCCGTGTGGCTTCCCAGGTTACCATTAGAAGCAGAATCAGACTTGCTGTGTCCACATTATAAGTGTGCAGGTCCACCTGCGTTTGAAGGTCCCTGGGCTATCTGCATATATTTAGACATTAAATTGCAGACAATGGTTAATAAGGAAAATGTACAATATTTTTTGGGGGTGGGAATAAGCTACTACACATTGAGATAGGTCTGTAGGTCTCACCCCAGCAGCACCAGCAGCCCAAGAAGTCTGAACTTGTTAGCGGGATCCTGAGTTCTTCTGGACTTTGGCAGAGCCATTAAAGATGAATTTATGAGCCAGGTGTGGTGGTGCATGCCTGTAATCCCAGCACTCGGGAGACTGAGGCAGGGGGGATCATTGTGAATTCAAGACTAGCCTGGGCTACCTAGTGAGACCCTGTCTCAAAAAGCAAAGATGAATTTATGCATGGCTGCAACATGCCCTGAGTGACGGGCTTCTCTGGTGGAGGGAACAGTGTCTTCAAGGTGGATTGTGAAGACTTTGAGTTCTGAGCCAGACATCCCTGCCCTGCCTCACACAATCCACCACTCTTCAAAGTTGTGAGCAGGTCAGGGGCCAGGATGCTTGGCCTGGGCTCTGGCTTGGCTGTGGCCTGTCCTTCCTGACCTGTAGGCATTGCCCTGGGCATAGGTACTGTGCTGATGGACACCCTGAGGCCTAAGGTATAAGGTTTGTTTTTTGAGAGGTTTTTCGACAAGTTTTAATTAAAAAAAATTAGCTTGAAAATAGTTTTACAAAATTTTTGGTACTACATTATAGCAATGTATATAATTTTATAGCCCTATCACCCATTGAAGGATTCACTAGTGAAACACAGCATCAAAAGAGCACACACAAGGGCACTGGTATGCACAGCTGCCTTGGTTAACTCTTCTGTTGATTTAATTGGCACGTAATTGTACCTATTCATGAAGTGCACTGTTATAGTTTAATTCATGTGTACGCCTAATGATCAAGTGAGGATAATCAGCATTTCCATCTCCTTAAAAATGGATCATTTCTTTGGAGCCTGTGAGCCCTCTTCTGTCTTCTACCTCTTCATAAAGTATGTAAGAAGTTGCTGTCGGTTATGGTCTTCGTGGTGTGCTGTAGAATAGTCTGAGCTTTTAGGCCCTTGGCTTTGATGATGTCACTTGGTTCAGAAGAGCTTAGGAAGGGAGTCTGTAATATAAAACATTGACTTTTAAAATTTATAGTGAAGTGTTTAAAAAAGGAGCCAGTGCTGTCTGGGTGAACTTGTTGGAGTCAGGGTTTCTATAGCTGCACAAGCATGACCATGGCGATGAATGGGTCACTTATGTCTCCACCATTTGATAGAAGAGATTGGGGACCATAAGGTGAGGGATGCCCAGTGTAACGTGTCTTCCACTGCTGTGGTCCGAGGGGGACTTTATGATGTCACCACTGCGGCAGTGTCACTGAAATATGTCACACAACTCCTTCAGGTCTGTCAGGCAGCTCAGCCTGCCCGGGTGCATGTCTGGAAGCCCTGATTTCGAGGGTGCTGCCTAGAATGGGGGCTCTGATCTGCTGATGGATATGCCGTCTATCAGCAAGCAACCAGCTTGCTAAGCTGCCCAGGCTGGACTTGAACTTGCAGTCCTCAGCCTTTTGGAGTGCACGATTCCAGGGAGCCACTGCCACACACTTCTACCGGTATATTCTTAGGGGATTGTATGGAACTTTATACAATGCCTTCTGATAAGGTGAGAGAAAAGAACCTTGTGAACCTCTTGTTTCAAGATTTGCTCGAGAAATGGGCCCATTGGAATATTAGGCCAAGTAGCAGATTTGTGAGTGTGGGTTTTGACAGCGTTTATTTAAACTGAGAACTACTATAGTCAAAACCCAGCCCTCGTGCTTCTCCTTGATTTTTAACACTAGTTAAAGCCTCGTGGTTGGAAAATGTCTTTCCAATTTTGAAGATTTACATATTTATTTTCATTCTTGCTGTTTGCGGCACTGTCATATGGCTACTTTTCTGTATGTGTTGCAGCTACAGGTCGCTCTGCTTTGGAAGAGTTTGAAGCAACTTGGTACTGTAGGAACAACTGCTGAGACTGGAGACATTTTGGAGCTCAAACCTGCGGAGGTGGTGTGAGATACAGTTGGCTGGCCCTAGTCTGAAAGTCTGAAATACTCTGAAGTTGGAAACATCTGAACACCATTTGGGCATTGAGTGGGCTGAGCCCACGGGTACTGCTAGTCCTCCTGCCATCCTTGAGCAGTTACTAGGTCTAAGGCCTCAGCACCCAGAGCGAGCCCTGTGAGCGGCATGTGCTGTACTTGCGCTGCTTTCCTGGCTTTGACAGAGTCCATGCTTATGGAAGATGTTACGGAAGGTGAGAGCCATGGGAAGGGTGCATGGGAAGCTTCTTCTGCATTGCTGCAGTTTCTTCTGAGTTTAAAGCTATCTCAAAATAAGTCATATCAATAACAACAAACTGAAATGAATCCTTACAAATAACTGCAGCTGAGAAGCAGAGGAGCCCGCAGTGTGCTGGTCCCTGTGTGGGGGAGGGGTGGTGTTCTCAGCCTGCAGGGTGACCAGGTCCTCGTGTGACACGAGCTCAGTCCCTGGCCAGCTGTGTGTGAAGCCCCTTACCCCAGTGAGCACGCGTTTGCTTGCTTGCAAATCGGGAGCAGTGGTTCCCAGCCAACTTGGATTGCTGCGAGCCGGGGGAGGCGGTGGGGAAGAGCCAGCTCAGTTGGTCTCTGCGTCTTTCCCTTTCCCTCTGGTGCTTCATGTTGCTTTTACTGATTCTGTTCTGCGAATAAACACTGCCTGACTTCTTTGGGATATGAGAAGCATTTGCACATTTTCTCATTTGGAGCACAAGTGACAGTGGCCCTGAGTGCTGACCTGACAAACCGTTCTTGTTGCCTGGGTGGAAAATGAGCCCTTTGCTTCTTGTTGGAATAATGGGGTGTGTGACACATATGCGTTTCTATGACATTGTGCTTCTGTCTGTATTGTTAGCACCCCTCCAGCACATGCTGATCTGTGCGAGAGCCCTTGTGTCCCTCTAGAACTGACTCTTTGAGGAGTTTCTGCCCTGTTTCGGGCAGCCACCCTGGGCGCCTCTTGTTTGTTGACTGCTCTTCGATGTTTAACATCTGTTCTTGGTGATGCTGCCTTGGCTTCTGAAGCTGTCCTCCCCTGATCCTTCTCCCATCCCTCCAAGCTGCTCCTTATTGGTTTCCACTGGGGCGGAATTTCTGTCTGCCACCTTGTCCTCCGAAAATCCTTTAACTTTTGGTGCTCTTCTAAAGAGGATGCCAATTTTGTGCAGGAAAAACACATTGTTTGATGGCTTTCTGCAGAGGTCAGTTTGAGTCCGCTCCTCCTGGGGAGATTGTTCATTCCTGCAGTGGTATGGAGGGAGCTGTCAGCACATGGCACTGGGAAGGTGTCTGGAGTTCAGCGGGGGTGTGGTCCAGGGCTCTCCACCCGCCGGTCTGGAGCTGCTTCCTCTGTGTGCACCTGCCCTCGCTGGCACGTGTGTAGGGAATGCCAATTTCCTCCTAAAACTCACTTGGGGTCCCCAGGGTTGGCAGCGTGAAGATCTGTGGTGGGCCACGTGGTTTTGCCTCTGTTTCCCTTCAGTGGGTTTTGCTTGTGGAGGGGCAGGGGTTTGCTGTGGACATGGGCTTCCCACAGCCAGCAGCTGCTCTGAGCTCGAAGCCTGGTCTCCCTCTCTCCTCTCTGCATCCACCCTGTCCTCATGAGACTGTCTCGGGACAGTTCTCCATTGGCACAGTAGGGTAGGTGTGTGTACCAAGAGGCACGGACACGGTGTACAGCAGTTTCCCGAGGTAGGTAAAAACCAGAAACGACAGCTCCTGCAGTCACTGCCAGTGTGTGGAGATGTTCACGGCCCATCCAAGGTGGGAAGGACAGGACAGAGCGAGGGAGGCACAGATCCCTGAGGTACAGACTCATTAGAGGCGTGGCAGGAGAGCCCTGTGGCCTAGTGCGCAGGTGCATCTCCTGCAAGGGGATTGGCTGATGTCTGTGCGGTTAAACCTCCCGAGGACGGGATGCTATTCACCTGGGCAGTTTCCCTCTTACCTTCCTCCTCTGCTCTTGGACCCATGGGAGCTGCAGCCTGGCTCGATGGTGGTTGGTCCCTCTGAAACTCCTGTTGCAATTTCACCCCATTAGGAGATGCTAAGAGGTGGAGTCAGGGCCTTTTGGTTCTGCTCTCCTGACTGGATTCATGCAATTAATGGGTTAATGGTATCGCCACTTGCCTTGAAAGGGGGCCTGCTATGAAAGGTTGGCCAGGTCCCTGTGTGCCCGTTTTCTCATCTTGGGATGCCCTTGCAGGCCCTGGGACTTTGCCAGCAGAAGCCATCACTACATGTGGCCTCTCAGCCTTGGGCCAGAACCATGAACCCGGATAAGCCTCTGTTCCTTATAACTTCGTTGGCAGGCTACTGTCATTAAATCAAGTGGACTAAGACAGATGCAACAGGTTGGCAGTAAGCTGTGTTTACCCCTTCGAGTCTGTCTCAGTAGTTAAGAGTTGGCGCTTACGTGCTCTATATCCAACCTGGCGGAAGGACTGGGCCCTGTATGTACAATCCTTACAGCGACCTTGTATGCGACACATTTAGCTCTGGATTATGGATGGAGAACTTTAGAGATGTGAATCACCTGGGCCGTCTGTGACTGGGAATGTCTCCTCCACCTGCCCGGAACGTGGGACACACACTGATCCAGCCACTTGCCCGTGTACCTGCCTTGCATTAGGTGTGGCTGCCCTGCACGAATGCTTTACTTACCTGAGGTTTATTCAGACACAAAGATCTCTGAGTTCTCCAGGATCCACACCTTTCCGTTGCTCCTGTGGCCATCTCGCACTTCGTCATTTTCCTGCCGACCCCCTGGTCTCCCAGACAGTGATGTAAGACTCAGGCAGAGGTCTCTGGCTCATGCTGGCCCTCAGCTTGCCTCACCCCAACGGCACACTCCTAAACACATTCGGATGTTGTTCTTTTACACCATATTCTTGGTGGAAGAAGTGCTAGTGAGGTTACTCCTTGGTAAGCAAGAGAGGTAGGTGCCCCCTCTTTTCTACCTGGGTTGGAAGACTGCATTAGTAAAGGCAGAGACTAGAGAGATGGAGACAGATCTTCAGATCAGAATAAACTGGAAACCCACTTGCTGGCTCGGGCTGGGGGGGACCCCAAGGGGACAGGGCCCATTGGGAGTTCCTTGTGCCTTGGTAGAGGTCAAGTGTCTTCTGTGTCAATTAGCCCAGTTGCAGATGCTAAGTGAGCACAGGTGGACTGAAAGCCCTCGTCTGCATGAACAGAATCAAATCTGGGAAGACAAGACTACCAGGGCTGGTGCTGAGGAGTTCCTGCTTTTTTTTTTTTTCAGGCATGGCTTCCTTCCTCTGGATTTAGCTGGAATCACTGACTCTGGGAACTGGAAAGGATTATGGTTCTTTCTTGGGAAGCGTGCATCCCAGCTTCCCTTAGAAAGAGCAAAGGCCCTAGTTAAGGGAAGTACCAGTGCAGGCTGCCCTGTCCTGATGAGCTGCTCCATCCTTTTCATAACTCCCAGCACACATGAGGTTTTACTATGTGGCCAGTGTGCCTGACATTGATTTTAAAAAAAGAAATGTTTTATTTTTAGTAGTCTGAGCTACTGGGATATCCTTTCTATGTTTTGGATGAGCTTCTATTTATAGAATGCCACAAGGAAGTCTAGGCACTGCTTTAAATATTTTAGTGACTGCTAAAACTTGACAAATTAATATTAAATATATGCTTGAAGAGTAAGTGGGAGATTGTATCTGGCAATTCTTGGCCGGAAGCATTATAATCCTTGATCATATATCTCACATGTATTGTGTATGTCAGAGAGGAATACAAGTGAAATATGCCTTAGAAGAAAATAGACCCATCAGAGCCCCACTGTAATCATGGCACTTGGGAGGCTGAGGCAGGACTGTTTGAGACCAGCCAGAGTAACAGTGAGACTCTGCCTCCAAAAATATATCGTTACTGAACTGTCTTTGAGACAGGTGAAGTTACATGAACTCACTAGGTAGTCATCGGATTTCTAGTGAAGTGCTTTGACGATACGGAAATGAGGCATTTGAGAAACATCCACACACACACAGCAATGTAACTTTCTTGCTGATGGGAGAGTTCTCTTTAGCACCACTGACATTTCCAAGAGAGCTTATTGCTCTGCAGGAAAATAACATAAGTGGTTTCTAATGAGTTGTGTTCCAGGGAGGTAGCTTCTCAGGGACTCCCTGCCCTGGGGAGTTGTGGCAGACACCTGGCCCTTCACATGGCCCTTGCTGTGGTCCAGACAGATGAGGTCAGCCTGTGACCAGTGGCTACAGATGCCAGCAAATATAGTTCTAGTCCTTTGGTGTCCATAGCTCTTGCCATCTAATTTCAAGAAGCGAGTGTCTGCTGTCACTACTATGGTGGTGATGGTTCCCCCAGGAGGAGGACAGTCAGATCCATTGCGGAGAGTTCTCCTTCCGGTCTCTCTTCAGTCTTTGGATTCGAAACGGTGCCCTGGGGCAAAAACATCCTTCCTGCTCCCTACAAGCATATCAACACAAAAAGCAATTTTCATGAATGTCTCCCTGCAGTATTAATAAGGCTGCAGAAAGATTGAAAAGTGAAGCTCTTGGTTTCAGAGAGGAGGCAAGGCACTGTCCATACAGACTGGATAAACTGTCAGGGAAAAAAACGGCTACTGCATCGCTACTCATTGCTTTCTCTACCAAGTTCCACTTTTGCTCCAGATCTTTGCTATCAATTAACAAATGCTAGAGTAATGGCAAGATACTCATTGTCTCAGCATGTGGAAGTTATTGCTGGTTGTTCCATTGTTATTAGGAAAATCCTCATCAGCTTGCCAACTTCACTGATGCTTCATATAAGCAGATATTCTTATCTGCGTGACCAGGGCACCACGGCCACTCTGGCTTCTGAATCACTCTGGGCCACCGGCATGGACACACTGAGCCTTTCTAAGTGCTCTTCACACCACGTGGTGGTCCTGCACAGGTGGCACCAGGGCTCAAGCTGGGTTCCTCAAGAGACTTGTTATCCATGCCTGGCAGGCTGGGTCTGAAGAAGATACCCCTATCCCAAGGGTAGGACAACTTCTGCCTTCTGTCCCTTGAGCCCTGCCTTGGCCTTTAGCAGCTGCTGTATTTATAGTGTGGCCTCAGTATCTCAGATGTAGACTAAAGTACAGGTATCCCTTGGTATCCATGGAGCACTGGATTCAGGATCCCTGTGGCCACCAAAATCCAAGGACACTTAAGTCCCTCAGAAAAGGGTGGAATAAAAATATTGCACAAAACCAACACACATCTTCCTGTATTCTTTAACCTGGCAGTAGATTACATATACCAACCACTGTGGTGCAAGTGCCACCGAAGTAACTGATTATGGTGTTGTTTAGGGAATTGTGACAAAGTCGGTATGTGTTCAGAAAGGATTTTTTTTTCCTCAATATTTTAAATCCATGGTAGGTTGTGGAGATGGAGGGCAGACTGTATTTAACAACAACAAAATGGCTCATTTTGATACAGAATTTATTTTTGTATTTTGTTAATGTGAGTTTTATTGTATATTTTATTTTCATTCTTAGACCCAGGAGGCCAACATGTAGATCAACCTTCCTTTGCCTTAAAAAAAAAAAAAAAAGAAAAATTCCATGGCCCCCGTTGGTGAATACAGAACAATTTTCCCCACCCTCCCAAGTCAATGTTACCTGTAAGTTTTACCTATAGGAGATTTGCTACTACAGCAAGCTAAGGTAAAAATCTGTAAGAGTATTTCAGTTACAGTGATCCACACATTCATGTTTGTAGCAGCACAATGCATAGCAGCTAAATCGTGGAAGTGGCCCACATGTCCATCCACAGATGAATGGATTAAAAAAAATCTATTTACACACAATGGAGCACCACTCTGCCACAGAGAGAAATACACTCGAGTCATTTGTAGGAATGGATGCACCTTGCGACCATAATGTTAAGTGAAATAAATCAGACACAGAAACTGAAATATTACATGGTTCCTCTTAAATGAGAACCCTAAATTATAAAGAGCAAAATAAAAGATGGATAATGCGAAGGGGATCAGAGATGGGGGAGGGAGGAGGAGAGGAGAGGCAGGGATGAAAAGAGAATGAAGCTGTGTTTCGCACAGTCCCAACTCTGTGAGTATAATCATTACGTACTGCAGGCACGTCCAATAAAGTGTCTCACACTGCTTTATCCCAGTGGATATTTCAAAGTATAAAATGTGAGGCTATAATTTGGTGGTAGAGCAAGCAGTTGCCTAGCAAATGTGAGGCCTTGGGTTCCACACTTAGCACTAGAACCAAGCAACAAAACAAATTTCCCAAGAGAAAATGAACGAACAGAACTACTTCCGGCCTCTGAGAATATGAGAGAAACCGCAGGGCCAGAGATGTGTGGGGCTCTGGTTGGAGGAGGAGAAAGGTGGACTCTGTATATCCATGATGATCCTCTCAGCTCCGGAAATGGAGAAGAGCAGTCAGAGCATCACACCTGTGCACCTGGCCCGTGTCCCGAGTACTGGTGGGTGTGGGTAATCCTAGCATTCTGAGAGGCTGAGGCAGGAGGATTAAGTTCAAGCCTAGCTTGGGCAACTTAGTGACTTGCTGAGATCCCACCTCAAAATAAGGTAATATAAAATAATAAAGGATCAGGGATGCAGGTCAGGGTGAAGGCCCAGGGTTCATTCCCCAATACTGGAAAAAGGAAAGGGTTTCCCAGCACTCAAGCATCAGTACTGTCAGCTTGAAAGGTCTAGAGAACAGCTGTGCTTGGCTGAGGGTTTTGCCTCAGAGGAGGCTTCTGCAGGCATCCGTCACATGCTAGCTGTTGACTCCCATCGTGACCTCTGGGTCTGTGCATGCTGCATCCCACCCACCCTAGCACAGGCCCTGCAGGTGGGCTATTCACTGTGTAGACACGCTGTGCACACCACCGTCCAGAGCTCTAGAATCCCGCTGGGCCTGAGTATGGGAACACCCAATACAAGGCTCTGCCTGACACAGCTATGTGAGGACCAAGGCTCTTGGTTTCTGCCCCAGAATTTTCTTCATCTCTTTCTGCAGATCCCCAGTGCACAGTTACTTTTATCTGAGTGATAAAAATGAGCTCTGCATCAGCGAGCATGTTCAAACCCATTCATGTGGTTGTAATCCACAGCCAAACAACCCACTGTCCCAGTGCTGCCAAACAAGTTGTTTGCTCTGCCAGGGCCTCTGGGGGCACCTCCCAGGGCTCTTATCCTGCTCTAAGCTTTCAGGGAGAGCTCTGAAGGCTAGGTTTCCAGGTAGCAGCTTGAGCTCAGTCTAAGTCACACAGCACCCAGGAGCACTGTTCTGTGTGACTGTCAACGACTACTTACATGATCCGTGCAGAATAGCATGCCAGGTCCACACCCCCAGGGCTGGGTGACTCTGCCCTGTGACTGCCAGCTGAAGGGAAGATCACACGTCCTCCATCCCTGCGTCCACTCCTGGCTGTCCTAACGCTGCAGCTGCCAGGGTGGACTGCTCAGAGTAACAGGCATGGGGCCTACTAGGAACTTCATTAGTCTCACGGGTACAAAAGCTTGGTCCTAACGTGAGAAGGTGCACCGCCGAGGAGGATGGACACACAGGCCATCTGTTCTGAACGCACCATTTAAGACACACATTGCAGTCTACAGGTGCCATAGGCACCTGCAGGTGAGCGGGAAAGGTGTGCTGAATTCATGTGTCTGGGAACTACAGCGAGGGTGACACTCACCTCCACTACTGGACCTGCAATACTGATCCTGATCAAGCCCTAACACGGGAATCCTGAGTCCAGTTAACACTACACATCAAGAGAAATGACAATGCGCCATGGTCCCTTGTAAATTCCGGGAAATCAAGCAAATTACTCCCTGTGCCCTTCTCCATGTTTGGAGGGAATGTGTCTCCAGGTAAGAGCACACAGATATCCTGCTACCCAGCCGTAAGTCACCCTAACTCACCGTCCATTCTTCCGCCCACAGCCTCACCCAAGCCCCTTCCCTGGAGCCTCTTTATTATCTGTGACTCCAGGAGTGGCTCTTGGAACCGGCTCAACACTGAAACGCCCCAAGAACCTCAGGAACATGCAGGCTATCTTGTCAGCCCTGTTTCACAGAGCCAGGATCTGCAGGCTAGAAGCACTGATGGCTGTTTGCAAACACTCCACTCTCCAGTGGACGCTGACCAGCAGCCAGATGGGGGCCCCAGGGCAGTTCTGAGACCTCACTGGGGGGTGGGGATGGCTCAGGAGTCCGGGCTTCCCACACTTCACCTTGGTGGTGTAGCTACTTGCCTGGTACCTTTGTGTGACCCTGGGCCCAGGTTAAGTCACAGGCATACTCTGCAACCCTCTGCCCTGACCTTCCCGCTGCACCCACATCTTACCTGGGCCTCACCCTTGCCTTACCAAGAGGGTCTTTGGCTCCAGATGGGACCCTTCTTATGAGCTGCCTCTTCTGCAGGAAGTGAACACGCACTAATGCCATGGGTTTATTGGTGTGGAAAGAGGGAGACAATGGTTTATTGACGAGGCTGAGAACCAAAGTCTGCACGTGCACTGTACACAGGAGGAGGGAGGAGTAATGGGGCGGGCTGGGGTGGAGAGGAGACACAGCAACACAGCCGCCCCAGCTCCACCCTGACACCCTAACTGACGAGGGCAGCCATCCTTGCACCCCAAGGCTGAAGCAGGATGAAACAGGACTCAGTCTCTCAGCTCCTGCAAGGCAAGCAGGCCGAGAGCTATTTCGGGAGCCCCCCGCCCGTGCAGGAAGCTGCCGCAGGTGGCCTGCATCCTTCACTGGTGCCCAGGCCCTGGCTCCTAAGTCCTGGGCTTCTCTTGATTCTCAATAACCAGCTTGTCTGTTGAATACAGTTGGCTGAGATGGACCTGAGGGAGAAGAGAAGACAGTGAGGACCCGTGGAATCCATCAGTTGTAGGAGCAGGAGAGTGCAGGTGGCACTAAAATGCAAGTCCTGTCCCCACAGGGTGGCCCCCTGTTCCTTGCATGACCCACAGCTGTCCCTGCTCTCTGAGGCAGCGGAGGCAGAAATCTCCACACCAAAAGCCATGTCCTTTCTTCAGAACTGCTTCTCCTGCCAGGGATGGCTTTCAGCAGAAAGCAAATGCTTCTAAAATGAGGCAGGAAAGGAACTGCACTGAGGGCAACCCAAACAACGCTCAGCTGCTGTCTCTGAGCGGCAGGGCAGCAGGCTCCGCACCTCCTGCCTCTGCATCCCTCTCAGCTAAGCATCTTGGCTTCACTGTCTCTGATGGATGTTGAACCCACAACCCAAGGCCACAGCCCCCACTTTGGAACAGAGAGTCTTTGTCACAGCTTCTCTTTCAAGGCACTTTGGAAATTGGGCTGGATTTCAGAGCAGTTGGCTGCCCTCTTTGAGCAGTCCCGGGCAAGTAATTGCTCTTGGAAAGGGCAAATGAGAGAAAATCCCTAAAGGCCAGCGCCGCCACCCAGAGTGGCTCAGGGACAGCCTGGTTCCCTGTGCGTGTGCTCAGCCTGCTGCCACCCCTCCATCCAGGCGCCCTGTGGATGTCACCTGAAGACAGACTGAAGCGGTAGAGAAAGGCAATCCGGGGAGTGAGTGATCACTCAGGTGCTTGTAATTGTGAATGAATTTGCTAATTGAGAAAGAAGTGCTGTTCACCAGTGGGAATAAGTATGCCAGCACAATTCCCCGCCGAAACCCCACTGCAGTGGAGCTGACTCCAGGGATGCTGTGGAGAGCAAGGCCAGAAACCGTCCTGAGGGCTGGGCTTCGGGGCACCGGGTTTCTTTGTGTTTTCTCTTTAGTCATTCATCCATCTGGGTTTATAAGGGATCCTAATACCACCCTGATTGCAGGTAGGGACTGCGTAGGGTTTCCTTTCTTTAACTTAAGTTAGCTGCTGGGTGAGCTGAAACCAGGCGGCCCGACAAGAGGGGAGACCACAACATGGGCTTACACCCCCCCATGTGGCTTATATGGCTGGATTTTCACTTACAAACGTCAACAGACCTAGGGGCCCCGCTATCAAATACTTTTGAGAAAGGAAAGGATAAAATAGTGGTTCTTTAAGCAGAAACCTAAGAATTCATTTTTGGAGAGATGTCCCCACATTCAAAGGAGGTTAAATAGCAGTTACTCTGAGATGTGCGAGGAAGAACTCTCAACAGAGCTGTTCCGACATGGAATGGGGCTGTGCGGGCAGCAATGAATTTGTCTGGTGAGCAGCAGGAAGTGAGAATGGAGAAGGAACTGACGTGCTAGACGGGGTTGGATCTGCTGGCTGCTTCTGTGCTAAGGGTGCTGGCTGTCTCCAGGGTCACAGTGGGCAGTGGGAGCCGGGTGATCTGTGTGTTCTTCTCATACCGAAAGGACCGAGCCTCAGGAACACCCGGGCGTGGGTCAGGACCCTTGGGCTGCAGCCCTGGCTCTGTCACTCCCCATGTC